TAACGTTATTAATTATGCAATTAAACAATTTAACGGGTATTTTCAATAGAGAATACACGCAATTCTGGCTTAAACGCCTGAATTTTTTGTATGTTTTTAGTTTTTATATGCAAAATGTTTTATTAAAAAAAAATGTTTTCATATAATTAAGATATCACAATGTAATTTTATTGCTACATTTATCGAGACTACATAATGTAATTCCATTACTACATGCAAAATTAATAAACATATCTAAATCAAAATTGTATATTTTTTCGTTTTTCTATTTCTATCATTCAGCTCTTTAAAATATGATTGCTATAAAATCACATGATTTTCTAACATTACGTGATTTTTCAAACCATGTAATTTTCAAAAATCATGTACTGATTTGGAACATTTCATTACGTGATTTACTTAGTCATTAATTACGTGATTTTGTTATGTAATTTTATCACTTGATTTTATCACGTGATTTTTTTCAGTAGGGTTGACAAATTATTTAAATTTAATTAAATTTGCTGTCAATTTGTCAAAATTGCTAACATTTCGATTACTGACAAAAAATAAATAAATAAAATATAATTAATATTGAGAAAAGAAACTAATAAATGTTTACTTATAGCATGCTACATGAAATCGTTAAAAAGTGAGTTTCAGTATACATAAAATTTCATATGTACGTTATAAAATTTAAATTCTAAATTCACTCATTTCAAAACATCGTTTGTTATGAGTCTGACATACTTGCTTGATAGCAAATCCATCTCTCGGCCAACGGACATTCCAGCCTCGACAACAGAAGAAGGAAGAACTAATCATCATTGCAACGCATAAATATAGGTAATATATTATTGTAATTTTTCGAAATTAGACCAATAGATAAATAGTTCAAATGTAATTGCACTTTATTCGATCACTCAGTGTCATTTTTTAATAATAATGCATTGGATATACGTTAATTTTTGTATCGTGTGTAGCCAATGTTTAAATATGACAATTGAAAAAAGTAAAATTGTTTATAAAAATGTACCTTTCTCGATAAAACTTAGTTAAGTGTTTTTAAAAGTCACAATTAAACTATAAAATTAAATATTAAATTCATCAATTTTTAAAAGCACACTAGCATTAAATTATTTCGCAAAAACGGTACTGTATGTTTAAACAACTATAACAATAGTAAATTGTTATTCAAAACAAATTAATTCAATGCTTTATAATTATGTAAAATGTGTTTCTACAGAATCATCATGCGGAGAATAATAGTATTGTGTACGATTATAAATTTGACTGTCGCTGCAAGATCTACTTATGAGAATTATAAAGTCTTTAAGATGATTCCGCTTTGGTCAGATCAATTTAACTTATTGCGCAACATGAAAGAACATGGAGTGAGTAAATCTTATAGATAAAAATAAGTAATATAATAAGTAAAATAAGAGTGAATAACAAGTGAACTATAGAGATTGTTTGTTCTGCTTAAGAATCCTGGAGTCGTTTATCTTACCGATATCGTAAAACCAAATTATTTTTTTATTGCTTTTATAGAAATTCTTCACAAATCCTTTTGTATTTAATTATACATGCTAATTGTTCGACGGCTGGTCAAATAAAAAATAAAAAAAAAACAATTTTTATAAATTAACGTATGTCGGTAAAATTTCTAAACTTTTTTACTTTTTTGGTTTTAATTTGACTAGCCGCTAAACAATTTGCATGTGTACTTTAACTACACAAAAAGATTTATAATTCTATAAAAGCAATATTAAATAACTTTTTCATGTACCGACCTGTTTTACCTTCTATTTTCGTAAAATTTTTTTTTGCTGCGTAAAATAACAAATCCTTTCAAATCGATCGTTTTCTATACTATTAGCATACAAATTTTAATTAAAAAAAAGAATTTTTTATTCCGCGCAGCCAAAAAAAGCATTTCACAAAAGAAAGGTGGTAAAACAGGACTCCAGGATCTACTTAAAAAAATTTAATATCATAAAAATTGACTTTTGTTAGTAAAAATTTACACAAAATTATATGTAAATCAAAGTTTGCAAAACCTGAAAAAAAACTATACGTTTAATAAGTTTCATAATAGTCTTAAGGGGATGCTGGAGTTACCGGCCGGACATTATATTTTTTCGAACAAGAATATCTTTTTATTGGTTGCATAGAATTGTAAATCCTTTTGCAGGAGTAAAGTGTACACAAAAACGGAATTCGGGCTGCTCGACTTTATTTGGAAAAAAAAGAATTAATAACAAAATTTGTTTCTATTCATTAATTTCTATTCTGCTTTTAGGATAACATATTGTATAGAGCTATCTATTTTCGTTTTTTATAAAAGTTTAACAGTTTTAAGACGCTGAATAAGAGCAGCCCGAATTGCGGACTGCAGAATAGAATGTTATGGAACCATTAAAATTGGACTGAAAAGTCTAATGTAAAAAATATTCTTGTCCGACTATTTTTACATACGTGTGCGTCCAATATCGGTATAACAGATGAAAAAATAACAGAAGATTAGTTCCAAGATAATATCAGAGAGGCGCTATACAATAATATGCAAATATATACACGCACCACACATACGCATACACAATACATTCATACTTAGATTATGACTTATGCCGATAATATCACTCTAATTTTTAGTTCCATCGAAATGATGGCGCTTTCGCGTCGGAGTTCGTCAGGCACTCCAGCATCCTCTTAAAATAAAATTGCCATTACATAAAATTAAACTTTTACAGTATCTTTTCTGGGAAGAGCCAATTAGTATGAAAAGACCAGTAAAACTTATAGTCGCTCCTCACCAGTTACCCGAGTTCTATCGGCTATTAAAAGAGCAGAATTTATCTTATGAGTTGCTCATCGACAATGTTCAAGAGCTAATAAATCGGACAACTCAATCAGATTTTAGAAATGCCGCGTATAATTCAAATATATTATTTCCTTTCACCAAATACCCCACTCTGAAAGAAATTTATGACTATATTTCTTATATAAGCTTGAATTATATTGATAATGTAAGACAGATCGTGATTGGTGATACATACGAAGGCAATAAAATCTTCGGTTTGAAAGTCACGTTTAGTTTAACAAGTCAAAATCCTGGAGTTTTCCTCGAAGGTGGCATTCATGGCAATGATTGGATTTCGCCAGCGACTGTTATATATATTTTACATCAATTGTTGACCAGCAACGATCCGAATGTTAGAGAGATGGCTGGCAGTCACGATTGGTATATTGTTCCTTTGGTAAATCCCGATGGATACAATTATTCGCACACTACGGTACGTTTTATTTTATATACACACATACACACATTACCCAGCATCAATTAATAATTTATGGATTGAAATTAAGCTAAACTTTTCTATTCATTTCTAGGATCGGTTGTGGAAGAAATCACGTGAGCAGTATGATACGTTTTGCTTTGGTGCAGATCTTAACAAGAATTGGGATTATATGTGGGGCTGTAAGTGCATGTATTCTGTAAACAAAACATTATTATAATTTATAATGAAATGACATAAAATATAGAGATTCATCAAATATTGCTTTAAGAGAGCTTTGGAGAATGTGAGAATTCGAAAATTATAATAAGATTAATTTCTTAAATACATATTGATATCTTAATTTTTTGTTTTTAATTTTGATTTATTGTGGTCTAGCCGCGCGCAACGCGCTATCATCTGTTAATACTTGATAATTAATATTTCATTTATTATAGCGAAGATTGCAAAACGCAAAAAGAGTTTTTTCTTCAGCTTACCGCGTTCTACTTGTACACGAGCGTTTGGTCAAACATTATTAAACACCATGTATATAACATTTGATATTTACGTCAAAAGATTAAGATTCTAAAGTCACTCATTTTAAAACATCGTTTGTTATGAATCTGACGTACTTGCTTCACAGCAAACCCATCTCTCGGCCAACGGACATTCCAGCCTCGACAACAGAAGAAGAAAGAACTAATCATCATTGCAACGCATTAATACAGGTAATATATTATTGTAATTTTTCGAAATTAAACCAATAGATAAATAGTTCAAATGTAATTGTACTTTATTCGATCACTTAGTGTCATTTTTTAATAATAATGCATTGAATATACATTAATTTTTATATCGTGTGTAGCCAATGTTTAAATATGACAAATGAAAAAAGCAAAATCGTTTACAAATGTACCTTTCTCGATAAAATTTAGTTAAGTGTTTTCAAAAGTCGCAATTAAACTATAAAATTAAATATTCAATTCATCAATATTTCAAAATCGCACTAGCATTAAATTATCTCATAAGAACGGTATTGTATGTTTAAATAATTATAACAATAGTGGATTGTTATTCAAAAAAATTAATTCAATGCTTTATAATTATGTAAAATGTGTTTCCACAGAATCATCATGTGGAGAATAATAGTATTGTGTACGATTATAAGTTTGACTGTCGCTGCAAGCTCTACTTACGAGAATTATAAAGTCTTTAAGATTATTCCGCTTTCGTTAAATCAATTTATTTTTTTGCGCAACATGGAAGAACATGGAGTGAGTAATCTTATAGATAGAAATAAGTAATATAATAAGGGAAATAAGTAAATAACAATAATAAATTATAGAGATTGTTTCTTCTGCTTAAGGGGACCCTGGAGTCGTTTATTTTATCGATATCGTAAAATCAGGTTATTTTTTATTGCTTTCATAGAAATTCTTCACAAATCTTTTTGTATTTAATTATACATGTTAATTGTTCGACGGCTGGTCAAATTAAAAATTAAAAAAAAACAAATTTTTATTAATCAACCCAATCCGGTAAAATTTCTAAATTTTTTTTCTTTTTTGGTTTTAATTTGATCAACCGCCGAACGATTAGCATGTGTACTTTAACTACACAAAAAAATTTATGATTCTATAAAAGCAATATTAAATAACTTTTTCATGTACCGACCTGTTTTATCTTCTATTTTTGTAAAATTTTTTTTTGCTGCGTGGAATAACAAATCTTTTTAAATCGATCGTTTTCTATACTATTAGCATACAAACGTTAATTAAAGACAAAAATTTTTCATTCCACGCAGTCAAAAAAAGGATTTCACAAAAAAAGGTGGTAAAACAAGACTCCAGGATCACCTTAAGAAAAATTAATATCATAAAAATTGACTTTTGTTAGTAAAAATTTACACAAAATTATATGTCAATCAAAGTTGCAAAATTTGAAAAAAAACTAAACGCTTAATAAGTTTTTTAATAGTCTTAAAATGATATTGCCATTACATAAAATTGAACTTTTACAGTATTTTTTCTGGGAAGAGCCAATTAGTATGAAAAGACCAGTAAAACTTATGGTCGCTCCTCACCTGTTATCCGAGTTCCATCCGCTATTGAAACGGGAGAATTTATCATATGAGTTGCTCATAGACGATGTTCAAGAGCTAATAAATCGGACAACTCATTCAATAGATTTCAGAAATGCCCCATATAATTCAAATATATTATTTCCTTTCACCAAATACCCCACTCTGGGAGAAATCTATGACTATATTTCTTCTATAAGCTTGAATTACGTTGATAATGTAAGAAATATTGTGATTGGTGAAACATACGAAGGCAATAAAATCTACGGTCTAAAAGTCACGTTTAGCTTAACAAGTCAAAATCCTGGAGTCTTCCTCGAAGGTGGCATTCATGGCAATGATTGGATTTCGCCAGCGACTGTTATATATATTTTACATCAATTGTTGACCAGCAACGATCCGAATGTTAGAGAGATGGCTGGCAGTCACGATTGGTATATCGTTCCTTTGGTAAATCCCGATGGATACAATTATTCGCACACTACGGTACGTCTTATTTTATATACACACATACACACATTAGGCAGCATCAATTAATAATTTATGAATTGAGATTAAACTAAATTTTTCTACTTATTTCTAGGATCGGTTATGGAGGAAATCACGTAAGCAATATGATACATTCTGTTTTGGTGCAGATCTTAACAGAAATTGGGACTATGAGTGGAGCAGTAAGTGCACGTATTCTGTATACGAAACATTATTATAAGTTATAATAAAATGACAACAAATATCGAGATTGCTTTAAAAGAACTTTGGAGAATTTAAGAATTTAAAAATTATAATAAAATTAATTTTTTTTATTCTAAAATTACAAATAGACGTTTTCTTGTCCGTTAATTGATCTTTACTTTTTATTTAATAAATCAATTATTTATTTTTTTAATATTTCTTGTACTAGGCTCTTACCGATCCGCCAAGTGCTCCAATACGTATGCCGGACCTACACCGTTCTCTGAACCAGAGACGCGTGCTTTAAAACAATATTTTGAAAGTGTGTTGGACAAATTTGAAACATATATTTCATTTCACGGTTCTTCGCAACTTTTACTGTTTCCTTACGGCCACACAACAGCTCATATTGATAATTACAATGAAATGGTAAGAAACTTTGTCATTAACAAAATAATACATAAACAATATTGAAAAAATAAATTTATATGTTTTCTGTGACAGTATATTGTCGGAATGAAGGCAGTTGCAGCTCTCAAACAGAAATATGGAACTGAATATCTCATCGGAAATATCGCCGAGAGAACTCGTAAGTGCTTTAAAAAAATTTTAATTTCTTTCTTGTTTGTTTTGAGTAATTTTTAGTTGACTGCAATAACTTGTCACAGTTAAATTTTTTATAGAATATTATAAATTCTAGCAAAAATTAAATTAATTTTAAAATTTAATTATAAATTAAAATAAATACAATAATTGAAATATTTTTTAGCACTGTAAATTTGTTTCCAGAATTTGTTACCGGAAGCACTATTGATTACATAAAAGGTACGTATCGAAAACCGTATGTCTGTTCCTACGAGTTGCGTGATAAAGATTATTACGGCTTCTTGCTGCCACCTGATCAAATAATTCCGACTGGACAAGAGACTTTGGATTCTATTATGTCTATGCTTCATGAAATAAAAAAACAGAAATATCGAGCACAGCAAGCCAAGCAAGATGGTAAATTATAAAGTACAATATTGTGAACTGCTTAAAAATAATATCAGTGATATATTCTTACTTTAGAATAAGAATAAGTTTCTAACTTCTTGATTCAAATACGATACAATATTCGAAATAAAAATATAAGAATACAGTTTTAAAACTTCTTAATCTTATAATTAATGAGACAAAGTAATAATTTTGATATTTAAGTTTTAATTGCGTTATGTGTTGATTTTCTTTTATTATATCGAAGAAATTTTTTTTAGAAAATTAAAAAATAATAATATTTCTTGAAATATTATTTTTTAATTGTTGTTATTCTTATTGTATTATTATTTTTATCAGTAAGATAGTATAAATGTATTAAATTAACAAAAGTAATTTATTTTACGTCAGCTGTGAAAAGCTGTTGTTGAAGCTGGAAAGATGAAAAGAGTAAATTTTATTTTTGTAATTAATTAACAATATTTCTTACAAGTTGTGCAAAATAAATGATTCTGGATTCATCAGAAGAATGTTGAAAGATCAGTTTTAAAAATAAAACTTGTTTCAATTTACTGCAATTTTTCTATGCAAAGTTATTGACTCATGATAATTATATATTCCCAGAGATCCCATATAGAGCAAAGTTGGCATAAGACAATCGCATGATCTTCGCTCAGCTGATTGCGAAGCACATGTAGCGACGAAATAACCACTACTGATCAACTGACTTACTGACCATAGTAGCGTGGTATCGTAATAGTGTAATAATAGTTCACACGTGTCACACAGCCATGCGTGCATACACTTGCTGCGCTCATGCTAAATTGGTGAACGCGTTTTTAAAGCGTTATGACTCGGTAAAAAATACACATAGCAATGTGCAACAAAAACAAATTTTCTGGGTTTTACGTCCCGCTAATGTTTTATATCTAACACATAATTTTTTATTATAAACATGAAGATATCCTGAAGAAAGTTCAGCCATGTGAAACTAAGTGATATTTGGTCTTACAAACAATTAACGATACATTTTGATATCTTAATTTATTTTTTGTAATTTTGATTTATAGTGGTCTAGCCGCGCGCAACGCGCTATTACTTGTTAATACTTGATAATTAATATCTCATTTATTATAGCAAAAATTGCAAAACGCAAAAAGAGTTTCCTTTTCAGCTTACCGCGTTCTACTTGTACACGAACGTATGATCAAACATTATTAAACACCATGTATATAACATTTGATATTTACGTCAAAAGATTAAGATTCTAAAGTCACTCATTTTAAAACATCGTTTGTTATGAATCTGACGTACTAGCTTTACAACAAATCAATCTCTCGGCCAACGGACATTCCAGCCTCGACAACAGAAGAAGGAAGAACTAATCATCATTGCAACACATTAATACAGGTAATATATTATTGTAATTTTTCAAAATTTGTCCAATAGGTAAATAGTTCAAATGTGATTGTACTTTATTCGATCACTAAGTGTTATTTTTCAAAATTGATGTATTGGATACACGTTAATTTTTGTATCGTGTGTAGCTAATGTTTAAATATGAGAATAAAAAAAAGTAAGGTCGTTTGAAAATGTTCCTTTTTCGATAAAACTTAGTTAAGTGTTTTTGAAAGTCACAATTAAACTATAAAATTAAATATTTAGTTCATCAACTTTTCAAAATCACATTAGCATTAAATTATCTTATAAGAACGGTATTTTATGTTTAAATAATTATAACAATAGTGGATTGTTATATTGAAAAAAATTAATTCAATGCTTTATAATTATGTAAAATGTGTTTCCACAGAATCATCATGTGGAGAATAATAGTATTGTGTACGATTATAAATTTGACTGTCGCTGCAAGATCTACTTACGAGAATTATAAAGTCTTTAAGATTATTCCGCTTCGGTTAAATCAATTTAACTTATTGCGCAACATGAAAGGACATGGAGTGAGTAAATCTTATAGATAGAAACAAGTAATATAATAAGTGAAATAAGTGAATAACAAGTAAACTATAGAGATTGTTTCTTCTGCTTAAAAGGATCCTGGAGTCGTTTATTTTACCGATATCGTAAAATCAAATTATTTTTTTATTGCATTTATAGAAATTTTTCACAAATCTTTTTGTATTTAATTATACATGCTAACTGCACGACGGCTGGTCAAATTAAATATTAAAAAAGAAAACAATTTTTTTGAATCAATGCATGTCGGTAAAATTTCTAAATTTTTTTTAATTTTTGGTTTTAATTTGACCAGTTACCAAACTATTAACATGTGTACACTAACTACACAAAAGGATTTATGATTTTATAAAAGCAATCATAAATAACTTTTTATGTACCTACCTTCCCAGAGAGAACAACAGGTCTAAGAAACGCCTAATAGACGTCGATAGACGTCGATAGACGTCTATTAGACGTTTCTTAAACCTGTTGTTCTCCCTAAGTGTTATACCTTCTATTTTCGTAAATTTTTTTTTTGCAGCGTAGAATGACGAATTTTTTCAAATTGATCGTTTTCTATACTATTAGCACACAAACTTTAATTAGAGAATTTAATTTTTTATTTCACGCAGCCAAAAAAAGGATTTCACAAAAAAAAAGAATGGTACAACAGAACTCCAAAATCTACTTAAAAATAATTAATATCATAAAAATTGACATTTGTTTGTAAAAATTTACACAAAATTATATGTCAATCAAAGTTTGCAAAATCTGAAACAAAACTACACGCTTAATAAGTTTTTCAATAATTTCAAAATGAAATTGCCGTCACATAAAATTGAACTTTTACAGTATCTTTTTTGGGAAGAGCCAACTACTATAAGAAGACCAGTAAAACTTATGGTCGCTCCTCACCAGTTACCCGAATTCTATCGGCTATTATATAAAGAGGAGTATTTATCTTATGAGTTGCTCATCGACAATGTTCAAGAACTGATAGATCGGACAACTCAATCAATAGATTCAGGAAATGCCACATATAATTTAAATATATTTCCTTTCACCAAATACCCTACTCTGAAAGATATCTATAACTATCTTTATTATATAAGCTTGAATTATATTGATAATGTGAAAATTATCGTGATTGGTAATACATACGAAGGCAATAAAATCTTGGGTGTTGAAATCTCGTTTAACAATAAAAGAAAAAATCCAGGAATCTTCCTCGAAGGTGGCATTCATGGTAATGAATGGATCTCGCCAGCGACTGTTATATATATTTTACATCAATTGTTGACCAGCACAGATCCGAATGTTAGAGCTATGGCTGAGAGTCACGATTGGTATATCGTTCCATTGGTAAATCCCGATGGATACAAATACTCGCACACTACGGTACGTCTTATTTTATATACACACATGTATGATATACATTACGCAAAATCAATTAATAATTTATGGATTGATTAAGCAAAATTTTTCTATTCTTTTCTAGGATCGGTTGTGGAGGAAATCACGTGGGCAGTATGATAAGTTTTGCTTAGGCGCAGATCTTAACAGGAATTGGGACTATATGTGGGGCTGTAAGTGCACGTATTCTGTAAACAAAAAATTATTATAATTAAAAATAAAATAACATCAAATACCGAGATTGTTTTAAGAGAGCTTTGGAGAATTTGAGAATTCAAAAAATTATAATACGATTAATTTCTTTTACATTCAAATTACAATTAGACGTATCTGTGCTCATTAATTGTTCTTTACTTTGTTAACTTTAATAACTTAATTATTTATATTTCTAATATTTGTTGTAGTAGATTCTGACCGGTCCGATATGTGCTCCAATAAGTACGCCGGACTTACACCGTTTTCTGAACTAGAGACGCGTGTTTTGAAAAAATATATTGATAGAGTTTCGAACAAATTTGACACATATATCTCATTTCATGGTTCTTCGCAACTTTTACTGTTTCCCTATGGCTACACAACAGCTCATATTAATAATTACAACGAAATGGTAAAAGATTTTGTCATTAACAAAATAAAACATGTAAAGTATTGGAAAAATAAATTTATATGTTTTTTATAACAGTATACTATCGGACAAATTGCAATTGCAGCTCTCAAACGGAGATATGGAACTGAATATCTCATCGGAAATACCGCCGAGAGAACACGTAAGTGCTTTAAAAAAATTTTAATTTTTTTCTTATTTAGTTTTAAGTAATTTTTAGTTGACTGCAATAATCTGTCACAGTTAAAATTTTTATAGAATATTATAAATTCTAGCAAAAATTAAATTAATTTTGAAATTTAATTATAAATTAAAATAAATACCATAATTGAAATATTTTTTAGCACTGTAATTTTGTTTCCAGATATTGCTAGCGGAAGCACTACTGATTACATAAGAGGTACATATCGAAAGCCGTATGTTTATTCCTACGGGTTACGTGGTAAAGATAATTACGATTTCTTGCTGCCACCTGATCAAATAATTCCGACTGGACAAGAGACTTTGGATTCTATTATGTCTATGCTTCGAGAAATAAAAAGACGCAAATATCTAAAACAGCAAGCCACAAAATGGTAAATTATAAAGTACAATATTGTGTACTGCTTAAAAATAATATCAGTGATATATTCTTACTTTAGAATAAAAATAAGTTTCTAACTTTTTGATTCAAATACGATACAATATTCAAAAAAAATATAAGAATACAGTTTCAGGACTTCTTAATCTTATAATTAATGAGAACACAGTAATAATTTTGATATTTAAGTTTTAATTGCGTTGTGTGTTGATTTTCTTTTATTTTTTCGAAGAAATTTTTTCTAGAAAATTAAAAAATAATAATATTTCTCGAAATATTATTTTTAATTATTGTTATTCTTATTCTATTATTATTTCTATCAGTAAGGTAGTATAAATGTATTAAATTAACAAAAGTAATTAGTTTTACGTCAGCTGTGAAAGGCTGTTGTTGAGGCTGGAATGATCAAAAAAATAAATTTTATTTTTGTAATTAATTAACGATATTTCTTACAAGTTGTTCAAAATAAATGATTCTGGATTCATCAGAAGAATGTTGAAAGATCAGTTTTCAAATAAAACTTGTTTCAATTTACCTACTGCAATATTACTATTCAAAGTTATTGACCTATGATAATTATATATTCCGATAGATCCCATAGAGCAAAGTTGGCATAAAACAATCGCATGATCTTCGCTCAGCTGATTGCGAAGCACATGTAACGACAAAATATCCACTACTGATCAGCTGACTTACTGACCGTAGTAGCGTAGTACCGTAATAGTGTAATAATAGTTCACACGTGCCACACAGACATGCGTGCATACACTTGCTGCGCTTATTCAAAAATTGGTGCACACGTTTTTAAAGTGCTATGACACGGTAAAAAATACACGTAGAAATGTGCGACGGAGACAAATTTTCTGGGTTTTGCGTCCCGCAAATGTTCATATCAAGTGCATAATCTTTTATCATAAACATGAAGATATTCTGAAAAAACTTTACCCATAAGTAACTAAGTGATACTTGGCCTTACAATTAATTAACAATAATACATTTTGATATTTTGATATATTGCAGTTTAGCCGCGCGCAACGTGCTATTATTCGTCAATATTTTTAAATTAATATCTCATTTGTTATAGCAAAAATTGCAAAACGGAAAAAGAGTTTTCTTTTCATTTTTCCGCGCTCCACCTGTACACAAACGTTTGGCCGACTCTTATGAAGCACCACGTATATAATATTTGACATCGTCGTTAAAAAATTTAGATTTTAAAGTCCTTTATTTCAAAACATTGTTTGTTATGAGCCTGACGTACTTGCTTCACAGCAAATCAATTTCTCGACCAACGGTTATTTGAGCCTCGACTACAGAAGAAGGAAGAATCATTATTGCAACACATTATTGCAGGTAATATATTATTGTAATTTTTTGAAATTAGTTTAATAGATAAATAGTCTAAACAATTACACTTTATTTGATTACTAAGTGTAATTTTTTTTAAATAATGCATTGGATATATGTCAATTTCTTATACTGTGTTGCCGATATGTAAAAACGACAAATGAAAAAAGCGGAATCGTTTGCAAACGTTTGTCTCGACAAAATTTAGTTAGGTGTTTTCAGTTACAAACTAATTCAACTATAAAATTAAATATTTAACTCGTCATCTTTTTTTGAAGGGGGATCCCACTAGCGGTTAAATTACCGGTAAGGACGATAGTGTATTTTTACAATAACTGTAACAATTGTGAATTGTTATTCAATAACAATTAATTTTGTGTTTTATAATTATGTAAAATGTTTTCTCAGAATCATCATGTGGAGAATAATAGTATTGTGTACAATTATGAGTTTGACTGTCGCTGAAAAATTTTCTTATAAGAATTATAAGGTCTTTAACTTTATTTCGCTTACGAAAGCGAAAATCAGTTATTTGAAGGAACAAATTGATGAAGTAAGTAACTCTTCTAGATAGAAATAAGTGATATAATAAGTGAAATAAATGAATATAACAAGTACGGTTATAGAAATTGTTTCTGCTTCAGGAAAATTAATATCATGAAAATTGAGTTTTATCAGTAAAAATTTACACAAAATTATATGCTAATCAAAGCTTGCAAAATTAGAAATAAAACTAAAAGCTCATTAATAACTGCTCAATAGTTTTAGAATTAAATTGCCATTGCATAAAATTGAACTTTTACAGTTCTTTTTCTGGGAAGAGCCACCCATCCTGAACAAGGAATCGGTAAGTCTTATGATCGCTCCCCACAAATTATCCAAATTCTATCAGATAATGAGGAAGAAGGGTATATCTTATCAGTTGCTCGTCGACAACGTTCAAGAACTGGTAAATCGAACAACTGAATCAATATATTCAGGAAATGACACACATAATTTAAATATATTTCCTTTCAACAAATACCCCACTCTGAACGAAATCTATGACTATATTAATAATTTAACCTTGAATTATAATGATAAAGTAAAAATTGTCACGATTGGTGAAACATACGAGGGCAATAAAATCTTGGGTGTTGAAGTCTCGTTTAACAATACAAGTAAAAATCCTGGAATCTTCCTCGAAGGTGGCATTCATGGCAATGAATGGATCTCGCCAGCGACTGTTATATATATTTTAAATCAATTATTGACCAGCACAGATCCGAATGTTAGAGCTATGGCTGAAAATCATGATTGGTATATCGTTCCATTGGTAAACCCCGATGGATACAATTACACGCACACTACGGTACGTCTTATTTTACACACATACACATTACGCAGCATCAATTAATTATTTACGAATTGAGATCAAACTAAATATTTCAACTCTCTTCTAGGATCGATTGTGGAAGAAATCACGTGCGCGGCATGATACGTTTTGCATTGGTGTAGATCTTAACAGAAATTGGAACTATACGTGGAGCAGTAAGTGCACGTATTCTGTAAACAAAACATTATTATAATCTATAATAAAATGACATTAAATTCCAAGATTGTTTTAAGAGCTTTAGAGAATTCGAGAATTTGAGAAATTATAATTAGATTAATTTTTTCTTTTTAAATTACAATTAGACATTTATTGATGCTCATTAATTGATTTTTACTTTGCCATTTAATAACTCAATTATTTATATTTTTTAACATTTTTTGTAGTAGGCACTGACGTGTACGACAGGTGCTCTAATGAATACGCTGGATCTCAACCATTCTCTGAACTAGAGACGCATGCCTTAAAAAATTATTTGGAAACTATTGCAGGCAAATTTTACGCATATATTTCGTTTCATGGTTCTTCGCAACTTTTAATAATCCCCTACGGCAAAGCAGATGTGGACGACTATAGAGAAATGGTAAGAGATTTTGGCATTGAAAATGATATGGCACAAAGTGAAACATGGAAAGTACTGACGAAATAAATTCATATGTTTTTTCTGATAGTATACTATCGGATTGGTTGCAATTACAGCTCTCAGACAAAGATATGGAACTGAATATCGCATCGGAAATAAAGTGGAGACAGCTTGTAAGTGCTTTAAAAAAATATTAATTTTTTAGTAATTTTTAATCGACTGCAATAATCTATCACAGTTAAATTTTTTATAGAATTTTATAAATTGTAGCGTAAATTAAGTTAATTATAAAATAAAATTTTAAGATTAAAATAAATATTGCAATTAAAATATTTTTTATACTGTAAATGTGTTTCCAGATTTTATTAAGGGGTCCAGTACTAATTACGTGAGAAATATGTATAAAAATAATGTCTATACCTATTATTTGCGTGATTTAAATTATTTCGGCTGCTTGCTGCCGCCTGATCAGATAATTCCGACTGGACAAGAGACTTTGGACTCTCTTGTAACTATGTTTAAACAAATAGATATTGACCAATATCCATTACAGTGAGTCACAAAATTGTAAATTGTATAGAACAATTGTGTGCTGCTTCTAAATAATATTAATGATACATTCTTACTTTATAGAATAAGAATATTTAAGAATATTTTGCAATAATCTTTTCGAATAAGAATATAGGAATACATTTTTATCTCATTTTAATTTTATAATTTATGACAATACTGTAATAATTTTGATATTTAAGTTTTAATTGCGTTGTGTGTTGAATTTCTTTTATTGTGTCGGAAAAATTTTTTTTAGAAGATAAAAAAAATGATAATATTTTTTTAAATATTATTATTTAATTATTGTTATTCTTATTCTATTATTATTCTTATCAGTAAGATATTATAAATTATAATGTATTAAATTAACAATAGTAGTTAATTTTATATCAGCTGCAAAAAACTGTTGCAGAGGTAGGCAGTATCAAAACAGTTAATTTTATTTTTATAATTAATTGACGTTACTTTTTACAAATCAATTGTTTAAGATAAATAATTCTGGATTCATTAGAAGAATGCTGAAAGACCAGTTTTCAAGTAAAACTTGTTTCAATTTACCGCAATTTTTCTATGCAAAGATATTTATCCATGATGATTGTATATTCCTAGAGATTTCATGTGGAATCAAGTTGTCGCGTAAGACAATCGTATGACCTTCGCTCAGCTGCGAAGCACATGTAGCGACGAAATAATTACTGATCAGTTGACTTATTGTCTGTAGTAGCGTAGTATCGTAATAATGTAATAATAGATTACATGTGCTACTCAGGCGTGTGTGCATACACATACACTTGTTGCGCTCATTCAGAAATAGGTGCGAGCAAGCTAAATTTTTAAAGCGCTATAACTCGGCAAGAAATTCATATAGCGATGTGTGACAAAGACAAATCTTCTGGGTTTCGCGTCCCGCAAATGTTTATATCCAGTGCGTATTATTTTATCATAAGCAACAGGATGTTTTAAAGAAAATTCACCCATAACTAACTAAGTGATACTTAGTCTTGCAATCAATTAACAGTAATACATTTTGAAATTAACG